GTAACACAAGTGTACTGCCATCTCTACCAGCTGTCTGATATTTAGCATGTGCATTTACTACAAGAAGTCTTAAACGCAATCTGTGAAAGCACTGCTTGCTACATGATATGAGGCACCATACCAGTAGCAGTCGGCACTGTTGGAACCTCCAGGAGAAGACTTCTCTACTGAGGATCAGGCATTTTCTCTACTTTGTAATAAACCTAGGTACTGTACATTGGTGAATTCCTGCAGGTTTGAGTTAAAAAATCCCTTGGCAGCCTGTGATTTTGAACGTTTTGCAAGCCTCAGTCTTCCCTGGCATTATTCTACAGATACATAGGGCAACTGATAAGACGAGACAGACTAAAGTGTCACCAGTGTTCACATATCATACAGTTCTTTGTGTCTTTCACATCAATGGAAGAATACCATCTCCTACTCTTACCTCTCCATGCTTAGCTGAAGATAGTACCTGAATGTAGAGAAAAATGCTAAGAATAAATACAAGCAAGACCAAGGTGGTGCTGATAGGCCAGGTAAACCTTTTTGAAGAATGTGCAATTCTTCAAATGTACATTTACTATTGAAAGCATATGCCTTCCGACTGGTAAACTAGCATGCAGCTTTTGAGGGCCTTTTGGATTCCTCCATGTTAGTGGAGGTTCAACATCCCATTACTTTATTTAATTTTCTTGAAGAGTGCGCCTCATGCTGTCCGGCATGAATACAATCCTGATGACTCGTGCATGTGTGCTTATTTATTGCAAGACATGATTATATCTAAAAATGAAGCTATACAGCCCAGAAAACCTCCCTGGAATGGACTATTTTTGTATCAATTTACTTTGGAACAGAAATTGCCACAAGCACTGTGATGCTCTCCTCTTAACTGGATGCTTATTAAATACAGAGTTCAATTCAGGGTCTCTGTTGTGATAATTAAAACTCTTGATGGGAGTGGTCCTACTCTCCTCTCCCTCTATGAGAGTTATATTTTTAGTGGAACACAATCTTTGAGCCAGACTTTGAATGCAGGAGACTTCACTGGAGATGGAGTCAGAAATTACCTGGGCAGATCCAGTACAGGCACTCACACACAAATATAAATCAAAACACAAATATGCTACCCCGTCTATTTCTCCTTAAATCTGGTTAGAAATCAAAGACAGAGACTGTCAGCCATGTCTGAAGAGCATCAGATCATGCTACGGAAAACATGCTTTTCCCTCACATTCCCACTCTGCACACACCAAATACCAAAAGAGATGTCTTGTTGATAACTTCTGGCATGTGCCCAGGGCAAGCTTAACGTTTCGCTAACAGTGAATGCATGACATTTTTAGCATTGTATAAATAAATGGGCATGTTTTCACAACAGCATGCTCTGGTACAGTCCACTGCTGTGTAGATACAGCCCATTGCTGTTGTTTGAGGTTTTCAACTACAGCAGTGGGGCCAGGCTTGTAGCTAGACACATAAACAGATAGAAAGAGTATGTTGTTTTCATTAAGGCAGCCAGTTTTATTCAACTGAACAAAGATATTGCATTTAGCTGCGCTAATCAATTTTATAGCTTAAGTCTGCATTATTTCTAGATACTCTGAGGATACCATCCTGAACTTTGGCCTGAAACTGCTTCGTTTGTCACTTCACCATACATTTTTCAATTTACTGATGCTTGTTGGGAGAACTGTCCCTCTGTAGTAAATGGTGGTGACATGGGGATAATAAATTCTTGAATTTGTTCTCAGAGGAATTTCTGACTGATTTCAAGACAAAATAATGGAAATGGGAAAAAAACTAGAAGTTTGTAGAAATTTTCTTTTTTCACTCAATTCATTTAAATGATTTGACAAGTCACTTTTATAGACCATTATTGACCAGTTTTTGACCATTTCCCTAAATATTTGGTATTCCATATGAATGAGGAGGAAACTTATTACTTCATATTGTTTTTAAATTCAACTATTAATGTCAGCATTATGGCAAGAAAATATAGACGGTTTCTCACCTCTCGTGAATGCCTTCTGTAAATTACCATTTTCTGAAAAATGAAGAGAGAATTAAAGTTTCATCTGAAAAAGCTCTATCAGCAAACAAATGTGTCTAAGTTATAATCATACTCACAAGGAGTTTACAGGCATAACTAGTCATTTGATATCAATGCATTATTATAATGCAAATTATCTGTAACTGAATACTTACTTTTGGCAATTAGCTCTCTCTCAATCTTCCCATCATCTTGGTACTCATCTAGCCATCTTTGTTAAAAAGAGAGAGTGGGGAAGGAGAGATAGTAGTTAGGATGGTAGCTAGCAATTGAATTTATTACAATGAATCTCAGAATTACTGCCAGTCCCCTCAGTGTCTTAATGCCTCTCCTGTCCAGCTAAGACTTGTAAGCATTTCCTGGAACAAATTCTCCTCTGGTGAAAATTAGCATTGCTCTGCTCACTTCTATGGTGCTAATTTACACCACAGATTATGTAGCCCAATATATTTCTACAAGACACTGGGAATACTTATGGGAGTTAGTGTTCTACTGGGTAGTTAGTATTTACAGGATCAGGCCCTTAAGTTGTTACTTCTTTGGGACAAGGATCTGGTATTTTACTGATCTGTGCTGTCCCTGCACCTAATATATATTCTGTGTGGCTTACATTATTTCTTTTCTGGATGAACACTATGAATGTTAATTTCATACCAATTTTTCCCTGCATTGTATGATATGGAATTTAAGGGGACTTAACCTCAGTCTTGACACACAACAAAAATACACCCTTACTAACTCCCCTTCCTGATATTACAATAGCTGATGGCCTTTAAGTAGCTCTTTTATTTTTTCAAACGTGGTAGTCAGTATAACCTTCCACACATAGGCACACTATGTGAATAAATCTCTGGTATGTGGAAGAAAGACTAGGCTCCATTATGTTTAAATTATTGTTGCAATAAATAGCTTGATTAACCTTTGTGAAATCTTTCCCGATCCTCCTCCAGGGAATCAAAAGATCACTAACTATTTTTTAAAAACAGAAGGGAAACTTTAGTTCCTTGGCAGCCCTCACACTGCAGGCAGAGTGATAGAGCCCCTCCTGTTCTCCTTATAATGTCTCTAACCTTTTTTCCTAGTGCTTAATAACTTATTTTTGACAAGACAGTTTTATAGCAAGCCCACTATCCAAGCTAAGTATCCCTCCCTTAGGAGAAATCTCATAAAACCTCACTGAAATTACAGAAACAATTGTCTCATCTGTCTACTCTACCAATAACCTTCTTTAATGTAATCCAAGCTAATTAAACAATTTAATAGACAAAAAACCACTGATAACAACAATAATAGTTTTGAGGGAAGTAAACAGTTCTGAGCCAACCATTTTCAAGGCTTTTGCATTTTTTTAACTGTGGGGAACATACCTTTAAAAGACAGGCATAAATGTTTTTATTGAATTTCTAAAAGATCCTCATGACTGAGGCTTCTCCAAAATTACAGAGTAGATATGAAGAACTAGTTTGTAACCATAAAGTTAGTTCTGAACAAATTCCAAGATCTTATATCTATTTTAATAGTGCATAATTCATTTGATAAGTTCCTCCAATGTATCTCTCTATACCAATATAAGGTGTAGCCATATATGCATTTTATCCCTGTCTAATATTTATGGTGGAGGGACCTGCTTTAACATAGAGGCTGCCCAAGGCTCCGGTTGTTGCCTAAGGTAGCAAAATATTTGAAGCAGTAGAAAATTTAGTGACTGTGACTAGGAGCTGAGAGAGTTGGATATTTTCCAATTTTGCCTACAGCAGCAAAATTCTAGAGCTACTGAGACAGAGAAATAGATATTTGCTAAGTGAAAGGAAATGCTTTAGTTATCCTCTAGATAGCTTGCTATCTAGAGATTAAGGTCTCTTCAAAGATTTCCAATATGTTAGGTTCACTTGAATGATCTGTAGTGACTGGAAAATACAAAACGGTCTGGCCTAAATCCCTAATATATGTAATACATGTTATGGCATAGGGAATTGAAACACTATTTAAGAGGTATGACGAGCCTCTAGAAGAGATCAGTGCACCTTTCCGGCTTCACATGACTTGGCCTCTGAACTTCTTCACCTTACCCCATACACTCACACACTGATCCTGCAAGCCTTTGCTCCATGACGTGGAGGAATAAATTCTATTTCCTTCTTACCTCTACACTATTTTGCAATATTTCCTCCAGATGTTAGCAGTATAACAATTCTGGTTTCCCATGAATGGCATACCTATTACAGGGAAAGACTACCTCTTGCTCTTCATCCTCTTCTTTATATTTGATGACAACTTTATCCAGGAACCATCCATTGCCTGTGATGAAATGACAACAAGTTTGAGGGGGGTTTTTTGTTGTTCCAAACAACAACAATAATAGTAATAATAATAATAATAATAATAATAATAATACTACAAGATGTACATGCTGGGTCTCAAAATGTGATACTGTTATTCTTCTCTATAGACAAAAGGCCATTTAGATTTCAGCAAACGTTTCTTCATTTGAAGATAAACGTAAACTAGCACCAGCACATTGCCAAAAGCCACCACAGCCTTTGATTGCTTGTTCTCAGAAGACATGGTCAGAGTTGTGGGGGAAAGGCAAGTCAGTCCAATGGTGAAAGCCAGAAGCCAAGGCACACAGTGAACATTCCAATCCAAAGAGGCAAAAACAAGAGACAGAAACCAGGATGGCAGGCATTAATCTGAATGCAATCTAGGACTTGGGGAGCCTGAAGCAGATGGTCAGAATTGAAGATTTATGCTGAGCAGCGACTGGCATAATTGGGAGGCAAGGGAAGGCAGGAACTAAGAGTGCAGAAAGACATAACACTTGAATCATTCCAAGAATGTCAGTGATTGAGAACTGGTGCACAATTGTCCCTTGACAGAAGGGAGTGTGCATAGTGCAACCTGCAGGGTAGGACTGGCTGCAAGAGGGCAGCACAGAGGGTGAAAAACAATTCACAGTTAATGGGCCAAATCACTTCACACTGAGCATGGAATTGACAGAGTTCCTGTTCTATTAAGCACCCATTGTGTTTGTTTTCTGTCTCACCACCACCACCTAAAAATTGACACATTTTTACCATTACAGGCACAACCATCCACCCACCACAAGCAGGGAGCCACAAAGCACCCTTCCCCAGATAGAACCCTGCTACCCACTCCTGCACCACATAAGGGCATTGTCAAACTATATGCTGTAAGCTGAACAAATGTTAATTAGTTTAGTTCTGTTCATCTTACTGGAGCAGTCCCACATTCAGCCAAAAAACCTGGTCTGCTTGCCCTTCACCTGCACAACTGTGACTTACCACTAGAGGCTTGGTACACAGGGAAAGGGCAAAGAGCTAGGGGAAGAACAGGCTTCCTGCTCCCTCAGATCAGAGTGAGTGCTGCACGAGCTGGATGGCCATCGTGCTTACCATCACCATTCTAACCAGTTCTGCTCCTGCTGGGAGCACAGCCAGCTGGGTCTGATCAGGGTTGGGGGGATGTGGCAGGGCACTGTTTGTGCCTGCCACTTTAAGGGCCTGGAGCTGCCAGATGCCTGATGAGGGTAGCAATTTTGAACTGAAGTCTGCCCATATAAACAGGGCAGCTCTGCTGCTGGAGGCCAGGGCTGCTAGTAACATCTGGAGGTAAGGGAGCAGCTGTAGGGGCTGCTAAGGAGGCTCCTGGTCCTAGGCATGACCTAAAACTGCACCCTGCCAGGAGTGGGTGGCCTGGGGGACTCCCAGTGGTGCGGGAGCCCCCAGGAAATGCCAGGCCAGTTACCACCCTGGTGAAAGGCAGGTCGGGATGCCTTAACCCCTAGCCCCCACAACCAGGTGGGTTACCCCTTTGTTGTGGGGGCTGGGAAGGTGGACCCTATGGAGAAAGAGTAAGGGCCATAGACTCAGGCCTGTCTGAACTTCCCCTGACTGTCCCATGCTAGGGCCAGGACCAGAAGGGTCGAAGGCCCACTGTGAGGAATGCCCAAGAGCTGAGGGCCTGGGGTTCTGAATGACTTGGGGATGGGCCAGGGCTAGTAGCCAAAGGTCCCGGTGGGGGGATCACACCCAAAGGGGAAGCAGATCAGGGAGCTATGTTGCCCAGCATGAAGGCAGAAGAGACCGCCTGAGGAGAGGAATCCAGGTGGGGTTCAATAGTAGGATTCTGGGGCCCAGTGTGGGGACCGGTGATGATGATAATTATAGATGCCATCTGCAAAGCTTGGGCTGCGATGTAGGGGAGGAAAAAGCTGCAGATAGCACCCCCTGGCATCGGGTCAGGAAATGGGCAGCCTCCTACTTATTAACATCTATTTAACTAATTAACAACAAGGCGTGGCGGGTGAGAATGTGGGTGATTAGCCCAGGAACGGGTGGGTGGGCCACAGTGAGATCAGCCCCGAGCAGGCCCCCTGCTACAGGGGACCACATTGCTTGGCTCTGTAGCTCTACTTCCCACTGAGAGTAGTGGGGAACCATACCACTCAGACTCAGCTGGCTCTGCTCCCAGTGGGAAGAAGAGCCAGGTCCAAGCAACATTGGGGGCCCCCCAACCCCTGCTCAGACTCAGCTGGCTCTGCTCTCACCAGGAGTGGAGGCAGGAGACACAGTAGGCCCACTGCCTCCTGGGATGCTAGAGGGCTTCAACTTGGGTGGAAAAGCTGTGGAGAGTGACCACAAGTTAATAAAACAGGAGGAAAATTAGATAGATTTGAGATTTTCCTGCCCTGAACTGGGATAACGTTAAGCTGAATAACTAGTGCTTTAAACCACTTAAAAGGTGTTAACATGCAGCCAGTCAAAGAGTTAAGAGCTCCAGAAGCCACCTAAAGTTACCATGTAACAAGGCCTTAGGCCTGGGACCCTCACCGGGAGCTCCTACCAGGGAAGTGAAACTGACACAGGAGCTGTCTATTTCCCCACTCCTGCAAACACTTTGGCCAGTAGAGTGCTGGTTGTATCTCAGAGCAGCCCTATTGTCCTAACTGGATTTGGGGGGTTTGGGGTGCTCTGTGTCCACACGTAACATTGAACTGGTTCAAGGAGGATTACCCAAAATAGTAATTGATTTTTTCCAGTGTGCTTTTGAAATGTTCCAGGAAGTTTAAACCAGTCTAAAGTGCCTTGTATATCTAGACTCTTAAGGCACCTATACAAATGCCAAACATCTGCTCCATGTGCTAATTAGCACACATCAGAGCAGACTCAATTCATAGTTTCATAGTTTCATAGATTTAGGGTCGGAAGGGACCTAGTAGATCTTCTAGCCCGACCCCCCGCCAGGGCGGGAGAACAACAAAACCCCAGAACAAGAAACGGGACT